ACAGATTGGTGTTGGGAAACTTCATGAGATACTTATGGATTTCCTTTGATTTCAGTTTTAATATCAATATAAATTTCACATTGTCACAAAACAGGATTTCACAGTTCCCTATATTTTCATTTTTCTATCATGTGCCTAAGATTTTCACAAACTTTTTTCTTTTGAGCTTGATCCTTCAACTATCTTTTTTAAAAATTATGTTTTATTGCTTATGCTATTACAGTTGTCCCAATTTTACCCCCTTTGCCCACTCCACCCAGCACCCCTGCTCCTTCAGGCAGTCCCTACACTGTTGTTCATGGGTCATATGTATATGTTCTTTGGATACTCCATTCCCTATACTATACTGTATTGTACATCCTCATAGGTATTCTGCAACTACCTTTTATACTTCTTAATCCCTCACCTCTACACCCATTTCCCCACACTACCCTCCCATCTGGCAACTATTGAAATGCTCTCCATACCTGTGATTCTGTCTCTGGTCTTCTTGTTTGCTTAGATTCAATTGTTGATGAATATATACTTATTGTCAATTTACTGTTTGTAATTATAATCTTTTTCTTAAATAAGTCCCTTTAACATTTCATATAATAATGGTTTGGTGATGATGAACTCCTTTAGTTTTTTCTTGTTTGGGAAGTTGTTTTTCTGCCCTTTGATTCTAAATGATAGCTTTGCTGGATAGTCTTGGCTGTAGGGTCCCCACTTTGCATGACTTTGAATATTTCTTGCCAGTTGCTTCAAGCCTGCAAAGTTACTTTTTTTTTTTTTAGATTTTATTTATTTATCTTTAGAGGGGAAGGGAAGGAGAGAGGGAAAGAAATATCACTGTATGGTTGCTTCTCATGCGATCCCTGCTGGGAACTGGCCCCTGCTGGGAACTGGCCTGCAACCCAGGCATGTGCCCTGACTGGGAATCGAACCGCGATCTTTTTGTTTGCAGGCCCATGCTCCATCCACTGAGCTACACCAGCCAGGGCTACTTTTTTTAAAAAAAAGATTTTATTCATTTATTTTTAGATGGGAAGGAGACAGGGAGAGAAATATCAATGTATGGTTGCCCCTCATGTGTCCCCTGCTGGGAACTGGCCTGCAACCCAAGCATGTGCCCTGACTGGGAATCGAACCGCAATTGTCTGGTTCACGGGCCCTCGCTCAATCCAGTGAGCTACACCAGCCAGGGCTGCAAAGTTACTTTTGAGAAATCAGCTGACAGTGTTATGGGAACTATCCTGTAGGTAATTAACTGCTTTTCTCTCACTGCTTTTAAGATTCTCTCTTTATCTCTTTAAAATTCTGCTTTTAAGATACCTCTTTAACCTTTGGCATTTTAATTATGATGTTTCTTAGTTTGGGCCTCTTTATGTTCATCTTGTTTGGGACTCTCTGTGCTTCCTGGACTTGTATCTCTATTTCCTTCACCAAATTAGGGACATTTTCTTTCATTATTTTTTCAAAAAATGTTTCCAACTTTTTGTTCTTCTCTTCTCTTTCTGTCACCTTTTTGACACAAATGTTGGAACGCTTAAAGTTGTTCCAGAGGCTGCTTCCACTATCCTCATTTTTTGGATTCTTTTTTCTTCTTGTTCTGATTGGTTGTTTTTTGCTTCCTTATATTCCAAATCATTCACTTGATTCTCAGCTTTACCCACTCTACTGTTGATTCCCTGTAAATTGTTCTTTATTTCAATTAGTGTATCCTTCATTTCTGACCGGATCTTTTTTATGCTATTGAAGTCCCCACTAAGTTTGTTGAGTATTCTTATAACCAGTGTTTTGAACTCTGCATCCGAAAGATTGCTTATCTTCATTTTGTTTAGTTATTTTTCTGGAGTTTTATTCTGTTCTTTCATTTGGGCCATGTTTCTTTGTCTCCTTATTGGCAGTCTCCTTGTGTTTTGTTTTTATGCATTAGGTAGAGCTGCTCTAACTTTCTGTCTTGGTAGCATGGCATAATGTAGTAGGTGCCCTATAGGGTCTAGTGGCAGCCTTCTCTATCAACCAAGCTGAGTACTGAAAGAGTGCCCTCTGTGTGGGCTGAGTACACCATCCTCTTGTAGTTGAGCCTTGGTTGCTGCTGGCAGGTCAATGGGAGGGATTTATCAATGTATGGTTGCCTCTTGTGCATCCCATGCTGGGAACTGGCCTGCAACCCAGGCATGCGCCCTAACTGGGAATCAAACCATGATTTTTTGGTTCGCAGGCCCTCGCTCAATCCACTGAGCTACACCAGCCAGGGCTAATGGGAGGGATTTATCCAGGCCAGTCAACTGCAGGGACTGGCTATGACCACTGACCATCAACCTCTACCCTCCAAAGAAGATCAGCTGTGCAGGGGTGTAGGATGTTGGTACTCAGACATGGTCTGTAGCTGTTTACTGGGTGCGCAGGCTCTGGGGTTTTCCGGGTGGTGCAGGCCAAGGTCAGCTACCACCTGTGTTCTGTCTGGGGGCCACCCAGCATGAGCTACAAAGCAATCTGCAGATGACTGCCACTTGTGCTGGGCTTGGAGGTTCCTAGGTGAAGCCAAGCTGTGATCCACGGCTGGCTGCTGCTAGTGCTGGGCCTGGGGCCCCTTACCAGGAGGTACAAGGGATGAGGCCTGCTGTTGCTTGTTTGAAAGAATTTAGGAAGATGTGAAGCCATTCATATGGAAAAGCCACTGTTAACAGCTTGAGTCGCTGGTAAGTTGGGCGGGGCAGAGCCTCAGGGAGTCACCAGGGCAGAGCAAACAGTGTGAGCCAGGTTGTGAGCCAGGTTGATGGAGTCTCAGATATTGCACCTGCCTGCCAGCTCTGTGGCTCTGTCAGGGGAGGGCTCAGAAAAGGAACAATGGCCTCTGCCACCATCTTCTATGTGTATGTCTTATTCAGTTTAACATCTACTAGGTAGAATGTCAGAAAATCAAAAAGGGGATTCCACCAGGGCTCACCTGATAAAAGGGTCCAGATCATGGTTAAGGCAAATCAAGGTTCCATACTGTGTTTTAAAGTTGGTCTGTTAATATTATTTTGCAGAATACAGTGTTGATAAGTAAGAATGTTTTTAGCAATGTTCCTAATTTAAAGAAACTATACCATAGTGATTTTGTTTTTGTTATTGATTAACTAGCTTGGCAAAGTCAAAGGTCAGTGGACCAGTTGTCCCAGGTAGGTGGATAAAATCAACCATCCTTGCAAAGTGGCGTTTACAACTCTCCATGTACAGTTTCCTACAATACTTTAACAAGTGCAGTTTCCAAAAATGCATATTTATAGCATCAAGGTTACAAGTAGAAGTTCTAAAAACCAAGAAGGCAAATTTTTGATGATTACAGGAAAATTCCTTCCTATCTCAGTTACAGAGTTAGACAGAAACTGAATTTTGTGATGACAAAAAAATATAGATTTTTACAGTAATTGATATATGAATATATACATGCTTAATTCCATTTTATACAAAGCTAGTTGTAAATTTTGTGCATTGCATTCTCAAATGTACCTATGAAGATTTCTTAAAATTCCCCTTACCATTACTTGCTTAAAACAAAAACAAATGAACACAAACTACCTTCAATATATATTAAGACTGAATCAAAGATATTTGGAGCTTGAATAATTTATTTTCACACAGTGGTCTCTGTGTTCCAAATTTGTCATCACTGAATTCCTTCTCTCCTACCAATAGGTATAAAGTATACAAGGCTCTCTTTCTTGCTAAATCGTTAAGCTGTCCCTGGGAATTTTATTTATTTTTTGTGTGTTAAATTGTTTTGAGGAATATTCATTACTCCAGGCTCTTATTTAAAGCTTTTGTTCAAGGACAGTTTGGTCAGCTTGATGTTACTGTGTGGAGAGGCATTGAGGAAGAGACAGATGAGATTCCTCCAGATGCTCATTCTTTTTCTCTAGGTGGACAAAACAATACAAAAACAACCCTCTACTTTCAGAGGGACAGGAGAACAGGCAGGCTCAGAATAGCCAGTAAGACAGGCATTCCTTCCAAACTGGCCTGCCTACTTTGTGTTTCTCTCCTCTTGTCCATTGGACATAGCTAATACCTAGGTAACCTTAGGCCAAATTGCTGTTGGACAACCTTCCCCATCGCTAGTTGTATATCTGCATTTTCCTTCTTTGTATGAGACCAAAAATTGTTCAAGAAAGTAATGTCTATATGTTTACTTGTTTCAAACATTGGTTATGAGAATCTGCATCTTAGTTGCATTGATTTTGTCTTTATCAAAATAATTAGGGGTTCACCAAAAGTCCTGGTACCTTTTCACAAAGACCATGACCTCTCCCTCTAAACAGGTGATCCTGAGAGAGAACGTATGTGAAGTGGGAGTGGGAATTAACTGCAGGGCAAATGATGGGGGACGAGGGACTGCGGGTTCAAATGACAATGGGAAGCAAGTCCTGTGGACTCAGAGGTAAATTAATGGTGGTCCAGATGGCAGGGAGGGCAACTTTTAAGGGGTATGTGGTGGTATTTAAAAATATGTCCACCAATTCTTTGACATTTCTCCTATTAGGAGGTGGAGTCTATATTTCCTCCCCTTGAACCTTGTGGATCGAGGTCTTGTGGCTGCCTCGATGAACAAGTACAGCTCAAGTGATGCTGTGTGACTTCCAAGCCATGTAGCTTCTGACAGTTTCTCATGGGAAACTGTCAGAAGCTGACAGTTTCTGCAAATTTTCTGGTGTAGAAAATGATTTAGAATCCAAAAGTGAAGTATGAAATTCTGTGTCAGATAGCCACTTTTAGAATTTGGTAATCAAAAGTTGTCAGGTGTTGAAATAAAGTCCTTCCCTGTCTGATTTTAACATTCCAGGGTGGAGTGGTTATGGGCTGAATTATGTCTCCCCCAAATTCATATGTTGAAGTGCTACCCCCTAGTACCTCAGGATGTGACTGAGTTTTGGAAATAGGGCTTTAAAGAGGTAATTAAGTTAAACTGCGGTTGTTAGGGTAGGCCCTAATCCAATATGCGTGGTGTCCTTATAAATAAAAGAGATTGGAAGCCAGCTAATGAATCTGCTTACCTGAATGTGTTTCAACAGGAATTTAGACAAAGATGGTGATAGTAAAGCCTTGTTACTGTAAACTTTAAGACATTGCACTCATTAAGGCGCCTGAAAATGGCTATAAGAAAAGGAGGGAAAGAGAAAAGGGGATTGAGTTATGGAGGGAGACACCACACAGGTGCACACACACGGAGATGACCACGTGGACACAGTGCGAAGGCAGGAGAGAGGCCTCAGGAGAAACCAACCTGTCAACACTTGTATCTTGGGCTTCCAGCCATTAGAACTGTGAGAAAGTAAATTTCTGTTACTTCAGTCATCCAGTCTGCAGTATTTTGTTATGGAAGCCCTAACAAACTAATACAACAGATATGTGACATTTGACTACTGGTGGTATAGGTTACAATTTTTTCATCCCTTTATCTCAGCACTAATAAATGAAGGGATTAAAAAATTGCAACTTGAGATATTTCCAAATAAGTTAAAGTACTATGTTATATACAGTTCTTTTGAAGGGCATACATTTTTTTATTCATAGGTAATCAGCTTTATCCCCCTGGCACTGTATGTTGAATAGATGTTAACAAATTATAGTTTGAAGGTGGCATTAAATTATTGAGCTTTCAGTTTGGCCACAGGTCTCAATCTAACCTTGAAAAGAATAAGGAACTTGGAAAAGAAGGGGGTTGTGGCAAGAGAAGGATTATTCAGAGAAGGAGACCTTGGAGCCACTCTTGTGATAATGAGGTCTTTGGAGGGAAAAAAGACTATAATTTCAGTTACTGATTTTAGACTGTGCTTAGCTGTGAGACAAAGATGTCAGAAACATTGCTAACACTTTATACTTATTAGTGGATAAGGAAACACTTGAAAGATTTTATTTTTGCTGACAATGCCCCAAAGACTAATTAATTTCTTAAAAAACATGATCCAACAACTTCTATTGAGTTGACTCCTTTTTAAGGTTGTTTGGACACCAATTTTTTTCCTTTGTATAATCAGGTGATTAGTCTTTGGCCTATTTATAAATTCAGTTCTCAGAGTATTTTGTCCCTTAAAAAATTGCAATGCTGTTTTCTATTTAATTTTCTAAAAAAAAGAAAACTAATGGAAATGTCCTCCCTAGTATATATTTGTTATTACAGTGCAAGTAATGGAAATGTGTAGTTATTCCTCTTTTCCCAGGTCATTTTGATGCTATGGAAATTATCCAGGATGTTTTCTAATAAAATAAAAATAATAGATAACAATTTTATCTAGGTTTTCTCAGGTCTGTCTTGCAAAATTAGCTATCAGGAAATATCTACCAAAATAGAACACGATATATACAACAAAATGGTAATTCTTGAACTGTTGTTCACAGCAAAACATACACAGAACACTGTAATTTAAAAGTATTTTCTCACCCACTTTTCAGTGACAATCTTGGATATAAAAGCCTGAATTTATAAAAGAAAGCCAATTCTCTTTGATATATTGTTACTCAAATTCGGGAAAGGCTACTGGATAAAAACTGGAAAAGGCAACTAATTTTGTTTCATTACCAAGAATGCAGCCAATTTGTTTGAAAGTGTCTGATTATAATAAATTAATGATCAATAATTAGAAAATAAACATACAAATAGAACTTTTTATTTGGAAAGTTTTGGCACTGTCACAAATAGGAATACAGATTTTAACCTTTGCAAATGAGGAAGGAATTCATGCAAAAAGCTGCAGTGAATGGAGGCAGAACCAAAGGGGCATATTTCACAAGCAAACTGCCAGAGAAGCTTTAAGGAAGGCCTAAGAGATGGAATTTAAAGGAATAAAAATATTTTAAGAAGAAAACACAACTCTACCAAAGACTTTTTTTCCTTTTTATAAATGTATTATTAAATGCTATTTGCTTTTGTATAGATTACTCTACCAAATTCACTTCCTTATTTTTAACTAGCTTACACATCTGCATGAGAGGTTTGGGTTGGGGCAAATAATAGACTAAATTATTTCTTTTGCAGCCACGAGGTTTCATGGCTTCATGACAAAGAAACCACAACCTTAACAGCCAATATTTATCTAGCACTTGCTCTGTGCTAGGAACTGTCCTTAGTGCTTGATAAAGTAATCTGCAATGCTCCAGGGTTTATACTGGATTAAAAACATGGCTCCAAATCAGAGGAAATTTTTGATAACTGAATTCTGGAGTTCGTGTTTTAACTAGAAAATATCTTGTCTCTAGGGCCCCAGTAATCTGAGGTATAAGGGGATCTCATCTTTGATTCAGGGACTTCTGATTATTCTATGGTACCCATTCTTTCCATTTCTAGCAGTGAGCACTTGACTGCTTGGAATAAAGACTACATTTCTCATCATTCCTTCTATCAGGGTATGGCCCTGTGATTAAATTCTGGCCAATGGAATAGAAATAGGAGTACTGTGGGATAACGTGCAGGAACTTGCTTTATGAGATGGATGTATATGCTTTAGTTAGATGATTAGATTGTACTGTTTTTGTTTGCCTCTTTGGAAAGGGACTTTTGTACCATGAAGTAACACATTATTCTAAGTGATTTCTGTGTGTCCCATAATTATACAGTTATAACAACCAACCCAGTTTTTGTGTGGTTGATTTTTTTTAAGGTGAAAACAATAGGGAGAAGAAAGTTGAAGTCAACCTATTAAATGAACAAATTGAAGTAAACAGGACATGATGTAGTAAAGTGGTACATATCAGAAATGGAACAGTAAAGTCTATGTTTAGCTTTGAGTCACTGAAGAATTGATAGGTCACTATGCTAAAGCAAAGAATGCATGTTCTTAATATGTAACAGTTCTGTTTATTTATGAACTCGGTTTCCTGAAATCTCAAGATCATCTATAGTTCCTTAGAAAGAACAACTCACGTTTTAATAAGTCTCACTGCCATGGAATTTATTTTCTGATACATTGTCTGCATTTTCTCCTATTTATTATGTTATTCATTTTAGTAATTTTCAAAACTAGAGCTGATTCATGAAAACTTCCTCGCTGTACTTTTTAATTCCTTTTGTAAGGACTTTCTTCCCTCTTATCTTGCTGACTAACACGGACAGCATCTTGCCTCAGCTCAGGTATCTTTCTGGGAGTTCATCCTTTCCAGAAATCTGATTTAGATGCTCCATTGTGTGTTCTAGCCCGCAGTGCGCGTCTTCACCAATGCCCCTGGTACTCAGTGTAGTGTCTTTGCTTGCTTCTCTCTCCTCTACTGTGCTATAAGCTCCTTGAAGTCGTGGACTAGGTGTTTTATCTCTGTATTTCTAGATACCAGCAAAGTGCCTCTCATAGCAATACAATAAATCCTTTTTTTAAACATATTTTTCTCAGATCTGAGATCAAAATAATGTCAAGCATGCTTTTCTTTACTACATTTTTAAGTTAAATTTATTGAGGAGTAACTCATATGTAATAAAATTAACAACTGTAGTTTGATGAATTTTGGCAAATGTGTAGAGTCCTGTAATCATACCACAATAAGGATGCAGAACATGTCCATCACCCCCGAAGTGCTATTTTCTCCTTTGTAGCCAATCTCCTACCCCACCACTAGCCCCTGGAGGCCACTGCTCTGGTTCCTGTCTCTATAGTTTTGCCAGTGCTGTACTATCATATACATGGAATCATCTGTAGCACATACTCCTTTCTGTCTGACTTTTTCTGCTGAGCATAGTGAGTCGGAGATCCATTCATGTTGCACATACCAGTAGTTTATTCCTATTCAGGCCTAGGTAGTTTCCATTATTTGCATGGTCTAAAAGTGTTTATCCATTTGACAGACAGTATAGTTGTTTTTAGTTTTTGGCTTATGGATAATGCTGCTACAAACATTTGCCTACGGGTCTTTATTTGAATATATATTTTCATTTTCCTGGGTAAATATACAGCATTGGAATTTCTGGCTTGTATGGTAAGTGTGTGCTTAGTTCCATGATAAAATGCTCACCTTTTCCAAAGCAATTGTACCAATTTACAATCTACCAGCAGTATATATTTTTCAGTTTGTTAGTGCTTTTAAAATGACTATCATAAGTATACTTGTACTAGGGTTTTGGTTTTGTAGTTGTCAGATATTACTAAGTTACTAAAGAAAAAACCAACATGTAAAAATAAATGATAGATGTGCTGAGGTCCAGCTTTTTTTGGATGGTGGAGTAGAAAAATCTTGAATAAGATCCATTCCTCCCCAAATAATTCCTTTATATAAATACTTAGCAATACTTGAAATTTCCTTTTTGCCTGCCCTGCCCATTCAATACTTTGTTAGAATTAAAAGTCCCCAGGAAACTGATCTGATAGGATCAATCCATCAAGGTTAATCAGGACCATAAGAGGTGGGTTGGGGGAGCCATTCGGAGAATGAAGAGTCTGAATCCACAAGCAAGAGATGGAAGAATGGACTGCAACGCTGGGGGAGAGACAGCAAAAGACCAACAACCAGGCTGGAAGGAGCCTTGAGCAAGAAGCTGGTTACTCCTCCGCCAGCTGTGGCAGTAGATCTGGGCTTGAGAACTAGCAATGCCACTTTCTAGTCATGTGGCGTTAAGCAGATCATATAACCTCCTATTTAAACAGCAGCTTTTTTTTTTTTTAAATCTGGGGTGCTGAGGAAATGACTTTAGCTCCACCTGCACCAAAATGATTGCTGTGTGCATTGCATTGAAATACATTGTTAAGTACAATTTATACTTCATGAATGTCTCTCTTTATTTGGTCAGTTTTTAAAACTGCTTTTCTGCCCTTCAATAGTCTTCTGTTAATCTTTCTTTGACTTTTACCCAATACTTACCATACCAGTGGTGACCCCTCTCAGATTCATTTAATCTCTTTTCCTGCCCCTTTAAAACATTCTACTCACTTTGGCACAGGTAATCTGTGGCATTTTCATAAATCTCTCAGACCCAGGGAACGAAATTCTGAGGTTTTTACATGTGCCTGGGATATACCATTGTTTCAGGCTGTGATATGTCAACAAATGCTTAAATTGCAATTCAATGAACTCAAAGTGGGATTCAAGGTAATCTGAGAGCTAGAAGGAGCCTTCTTAATTTCTGAGGGGATATAGTTATCCTTCTCTGTCTTCTCTGTTGTCTCTAAGACAAGCATAAGCA